TCTGTGTTTGGCTCATTCCAGATAAGACTATTTCTAGTTATCCTATGATGTTAACGTTCAGAGGTCAAAAGTATCTCAAAGGCAATGACTTCATTAAGATATGAAAAGTGATTGTACTACATAAGAATTTCTATTTTGAAAGTGAAATATTTGGCCCTCAGTATCTCAGTACTGCTCTGAGTGCAGATAGAACCTGTTAATTCTATCTTGTCGATCTACAGTACTTGTAATTAATTAATTCTTACAGAGAATTAAATAATTGAAGAGTGGTCTCAGATTTTTGAGCAGGCAATAACTTTAACTCTTTTCCATAGAAAATAATTTAGAACAGAACGAAAAAAAACAAGAAGTACACTTATAATAGAAGTCAATGGGCAGTTCTTATAACAACTGTGCATTGTTTCTGTTGTAAGCTAATTCCAAGTCAGTGGGTTTTCTGTCCTAAAGTACAAAGTAAACTGAAAATTATTGTAACAAGGTTAATGACCATATGATACAGATGTAGCAGATTGAGACTGGTTAAAAATTGAGATTAAAAGCACTGCAGTACTCCTTTAAGGGGGAATTGCACCAATCTGAATGACTTTGTTCGCACCTCACTGACTGAATCATGCAGAATTTGAAAAATCGGTGAAATTCCCCTTTAAGAATAAAGACACCTCATAAAACCTCATGAAACAATGTTATTTTCCAGTGCACTCTTATTTTAATACAAGTGCTTTATCAGTTGATTACAATGGAAAACAAGTGGTAAACACTGTTAGGTCACAAGAGTTTCTACATAGAAAATCTAAAGAAGTGATTTAATGACTCTTTTGTTTGCCTCCTTTGAATTAAAAATAATAGTAAATGAATGCAGTCACTTCAAACAGAAACCACAATTCATCCTGTTAGCTGTCACTGCGTCAGTCTATAAGACTGACAGTTCCCGAAATGGATTGGAAAATAAAGCTAAACTGAATGTGGAATTCCCCTTTAGCTGCTGTCATTATTTGACCACTGAGATGAAAATGTGCGATGAAAATGAAAACTTTGTAATAATGTTGTCAATCACAGCTTCTTCCTAGCTGAGGCTTTAGCTTCGTTTATCTTTTAATGTTCGGTTGATTACAGCAGCAGAACCAGCGCTGACTGCTTTTTTTAGAAATTCACTCACTCTAATTTATTTAGAATGACTTTTGCTGAATCCCTCTATGAATACTCCAAACACCAGTGGGGAACTCTCAGGGTCAAATGATTACTGTGAAATTAAAAAATACATGTCAGTAATTTTAGCTCATTTTTCTTTAAAGCTGCACTATGTAAGATTTGCTAAAATTGAAAGAAATAGCATTACTGAGTCAGGAGAAAAACATGCTAAAAAATGGTGTCTGTGCTGCTGGGATTATGGAAGTTTTTGTACCACGTCATATGTTTTTACTTATTAATGTCACACGCAAAGAGAAGGTCTGCTTGATGTTAAGTCAAGTCAAAGTCAAAGTTTATTTATATAGTGCTTTTTACAACAGGCATTGTCGCAGAGCGGCTTTAGAGAAAAATCTTTGTTCAAGCCCCTGTGAGCAAGCCAACTCTCTAAGAGCAAGAGGAAGAAACCTTGAGAGGAACACATCCTCCTCTGGTTGACATCGAATAGCAAACAATAACACAAGAGGAATATAAGCAGAAAATAAGGACTTAACGTTAGTGTAAAACATTGAAATACAGAAAAGGGGAAAAGCAGGTGAAGGAATGGCTATGATTAAATAGTATGAGCAGTATCATCAGGAGGGTCAGTGGCATGCAGGTGAGATTTGCACAGCGTTGCGCAGCAGGAAGCTACAAGATGGTCAAACTGGTCCATAGGCTGGGCGAGCAGTGGGCACCCAATCAAGACAGCTCAGCAAAGAAACACACAGAGAGTTAGTTCTGTTAAGAGAGACTGATTACAGTATACAGGGTTAATAGAGTGCAGCAGAGACTCCAGCAGTTCGAGCTATTACAGCCAACTAAAAAGGAGAGCCAGAAGGTAACAGGGACATGATGGCTCCCTGAGATTTCAGCGCCCCTCCGCTCCACCGTCAACAAACTTGAATGAACATGGTAGAGCAGTGGGACGACAGCACCAACACTCCCAGTTTACCAAATACTCTATGATCATGGACCCCCAGATCTGTGCCTTTTATCTAACAGGAAAAACTAATTACCGAAGGATTGACTAAGCTAGTAGGTTTTTAGCCTCTACATAAAGTCTGAGGCTGTGTCTAAGTCCTGAACACTGACTGGAATGTTATTCCAAAGCTGATGCAATTCATTAGTTTTAGGTACTAAAAGTGAGCCAGCACTTTGTGATCTAAGTAGGCGAGATGGTTCATAACAAGAGAGAAGTTCACTCAGGTACTGAGAGGCGAGGCCGTTTAGAGCTTATATGTCAGTAAAAGAATTTAACCGGCAACCAGTGTAGGTTTGATAGAACTGGGATGACATGGTCAAACTTTTTAGTTCTTGTGAGGACTCTGGCTGCAGCATTCTGGACTAACTGAAGCTTGTTAAGGCTTTTGCTGACAGACAGCAGGGCATTACAGTAATCCAGCCTTGAGGAGTACTCTATATGGAGAGTACTTACATACTGCATGTTAAAAAAAGTGAGAAAATTTAGGTTTTCCATGATATGGGCCCTGCAAAGAGAAATACTTTTGATATTCATATTTATTGGCTTTCACTGTATAAATCACAAATATTGTATGTGCACAAGAACATTTTTTATAGTAGTAGCATTGATTTTGGGAAACTAGTCTTGGATTACTTGGTATAAAAGAAAGGCAAAGAAAATCAGCTGTATTGCCCATCCTTACCCACAGTGCACACACAGTGTGGGAAATCTGCAGCTAAAGTCACATGACAGTCTTAACAGGCTGGAGCACAGAAAAGCCTGAGGTGACTGAGTGAAACTGTAATGAAAGCTGACAGCTGGGATAGGTGACTTCCAGGCTTTATTAACAATGCATTTTCTCACGTTCCACCCCACTCTCTCACTCTGAAACCACCAGGCAGTGTGCAAATAAAGTCACTTTTTTTAGATACCCTCCTCATATGAGAATATAACTTGGCTTGTAATGCACTTTCGGTGTGAAGGTTTACTTTAAGCTGTGCTGTTTGTACACACTGATACAAACACAAGCTAATGCTGAGACAGATAAAACTCCAAATGCACCACATGACCTCACCAATAAATAAATTATTTACACCGTTTTTACAACCTTGAATACTAATTAATATAGTGTAATATTTAGGGTGATGGTTTAATTGGATAAACTGTAAAAGTTGTAAGATTGAGGGAATAACTATGTAACTAAACTGCTATAAGCTAAAATCCAGAATTCTCTAACTAAGAAATATGTACTGACTAGTTTGGATGTGACGTTATAGATGTTACAAACCTTAATTCCAACCTCAAGCAGGGACAGTATGTGAAATGCTAATAAAAACAGAAAGCAGTGATTCTTACATTCTGTTTGACCTGTATTACATTAAAAAACAAAAAAACACAGGAGCTTGTTTACCACTGTGTTACATCACCTTCCCTTTTAACAACATTTAATAATCATTTGAAGACACCAACTAGTCCAGAGTAGAAAGCAGAATTATTTTGCTATTCTTTCGTTATATAAGTGTTTAGTTGTGCAACCATACAGGGCCTTCAATGTCATACTTTGCACTTCAGAATGTGCCACACGTTTCTAATGGGAGAAAAGTTAGGACTGCAGGCAGCTGTGCTGTTGTAGCATATGCAGAATGCAGTTTGCAGGATTCATGTTAAAATAAGCATTGACTTTGCTGAAAAAGACATCATCTAGGCAGTACAGGTTGTTCCAGAATGTGTATATCTTCCAGTGGAATTCTCCCTTTGCGTATGTACAAGTTACCCACATCATGAACACTAATACAACCTGATGCCATGACATACCCTGACTTTTGAACTTTATGCTGGTAAAAATCTGGATGGTCTCTTTTTACTCTTCAGACCACAGTGCACATTTTCATTGTGCATCAGTCCATTTCAAATTAGTTCAAACCCAGAGACATCAGCTTCTGCTTGACACATGGCTTCTGCTGTGCATAATCAGTCTTAACTTGGATGTGTGGATGCACTGATGAAAAGTGCTTATTGACAACAGTTTGTCAAAGTGTTCCCAAGCACATGAGATGATTTACCTCACAGAAGCATACTGTTTTTTAATGCAGTGCTGTCTGAGGGATCAAAGGTCATAGGCATTTAGTTGTGGTTTTCGTTCTTGCCCTTTAGGCACAGAGATTTGTCCGGATTCTTATATTACTATAGATCATGAAATACCTTAAATCCTTTCAATCATCTGTTGAGGAACATTGTTCTTAAACCGTTGGATTATTATGCTGACACTTTTTTAGGTAATTTGACGAGCCTCAACATATCCTGCCTTTAATGGGTGCATCTTTTATACCATGCATCACCTGTTTAAGATTTAAAAAACCTTTTAAAGTGTTCCTACTCTTAAATCGCCCCGTCCCAACTTTTTTTTGAAATATGCTTAAGGCATTCATTTCAGAATGAGTGTATATTTCCATAAGCAGTGTAGTTGATAAGATGCTTTCTATTTTTATTTGCGTTTTACATTCTATGCCAAATTTTTTAGAATTGAAGTTTTCATTCACTGTGCAGTAGATCAATTTATATGCAGTCTAGCATACATAACGGTAGAAAAATTCCATGTAATTTGCCCCATAAAAAGGCCCACATTTTTGACAAACTCCAGTAAATACAAACAACTACCCAGTCAAAATGTAGCACTGTGACTGTAGTAGCCAATTATTGGGCAACGCTGGGATACTACTAGCCAATCAAAATACAGGACTGGAATACTACTGGCGAATCCCAACACAGGAGGGCGGGAAACTTTTAGCCAATCCCAGTTAATGAGGCCGGAAACCTACTAGCCAATCGCAACGTAGATGGGCGTAATTCATCCGAATACGGGTGGGAAAAAAACTAGCACTCATGAAGCAGCATCAGTTTCCTCTTTCTGCTGTGACCATGGGGTCGTAACACTTGGGCACTTTACAGTTCTCTGTGTTGTTGCTTTTAAACAATAGCCTAAAAACACATCCCTACTCCTGTCAGAAACCTTCGTTTATATGGATTCGCTGTAAAATATTTCTTAAAAGTTAACAGAGTCGCTTATTTTTTTGTTCGCCAAAATGCCTGAGCTCATATCTGTGGAGGAGTTTATCGCGGAGACTCTGGAGGACTACAGTTCTCCCACCACATCATCTTTCATCACAAAAATGACAAGCTGCCGGAATACAGTCAACAACATCGAGGAGGTATGGAAAAACGCCTTTTTTTTCTGTTAACTCTGCTTTACAAAAAAGGCTTCTAACAAATACAGAAACGCTAACGCTACGTTTGGAGGCTTTTCTGGTCTAGCATTGCTTCAGCGTGCTGGTGTGTACTCTTACTATGTTCACCTCTATCGCTTTATCTTCCTCACTTCTCTACCAACCGCTTTGTTTTGTGTTTTTTGTGTATTTTTTTTTGGCAAAAATCTCCCCGCTTTCCAAATCTTTCTTCACCAGCTTTTCTCCCAACACTGCTGCTGCTGCTATTATTGCCGTTGCAGCGCTGAGGCAGGTTGAAGCGGCTGAAGCTCTTTGTCCACTGCACTGTTCTCAACTGGGTTGGGAATATAGCCACACTGACTGGAAATTCTTGGGATTTGTAGGAGGCCTGAGGGTTTTCCATGTGAAATCATGACTTAAAGTACGTTTATATCCATTTAGTTGAGGGATAATGATAGTTCAGGTCGAGAGGAATGATGCAGTGCCTTTGTTGTCAGCTCTGAATGTGGGCTCATTGGGGTTTATAATGGGGAAACTGACTGGGGCTCCAGTGATGGAGAGATGCTGAATAAAACCACTGCAAGAGGATTCTGGCATTCAGATATGCAGTTTTATTCTGTTATTACAACACTTACAATATGCATAATATATATTGGACATTTAATTTTTTTTTCACATTTTGTCATCATCATCTTGAATATTATATTACATTAATTTACTTTTTTTGTTGCAACCTCATCACATTAGGCCAGAACACATGTCCTTGTTATTGCCCATAATGTGTGGGTTACTGCTGAGCCCCAGTGGAGGTTTTGCTTTTCTTATAATTTCATATAGAAATTCCCTAAAGGGAACACCACAGTATTTTTCTGCCTAATCTGCAGTTTTTGTATCATACAGTAAGTTACCTCAGACAATAACTTTAACACACTCTATACATAGAAAACAACAGAAAAATCATATACACAACAGTAACATTCCCCATTGGCATCTGTTATAAACATACTTCGAGTTTTGTGCTCTTTTCTAAGCAAACAAGGAAGAAATTATCGTGTGTAATAACTGATCATATGCTACAGAAGCAGCAGGTACAGATTAGGTTGAAAAATACTGGATTATTCCTTTAAAAAGGCACTAATACCCTTTAGTAAATAAGGTAGCCGTGATAAATGGTCCAAGTATGTACTTTGTAACTGGGCAGCTTGCCCCCCCTCACTCACTGAGGCTTATTGGGTGATATATTTGTGTGTCATTCTTGTGCCAGATTGCAAGAAGCATCAGAGGTCACGTCCATAACAATGGGAACAGTGACTTCTTCTAATATGGGCAGACACTCTGGAGTGTGGGGTAACCATGGTGATGACCCGGCCCACAGAAATCGTCGCAAATTGAACGGTGTACCACATTATGTGGTTGATTGTTTGGGCGTCTGCTGACAGGACGGATCCCCCTGTGACCAGTGAGCTTAACGCATCCACAGCCTGAGGGCTTTAATGGTACATAGAGCACGCCTGGGTTGGAAGTGACCCTTTTCCCCTCCATTCTGCGTCCACAGGGTGGCTCATTAGATTAGCACAGATTTAAGGCTACCAAAGAAAATCCCACTGTTTGGATGGGCCTTGAAAACAGTGGTACTCATTCTAAGGCAAAGCAGGGTAAATGCAAGAAGTATGACTTCAATAGCGGGTGATGCTGTTTTTTTCCTCTGGTCCTGGTCCAGCATGGAGTTCTGGTGCATCTGTTTGGCACCTCACAATGTACGGCGTTGTTTTTCATTATCACTTGGTTTTGCAAGTTCACTTGTTGTGTTTTTGGCTTTAAGTCTAAATCCTCTGTCACCCAGATACGTGTGGAAAAATATAAAGGATTTGGGGTGCGTTTAACACTTTAATGCCCAGGCAAAAAGAGCTTATTTGTGCCTTTTAATCTACTCTTCTTCTTTAATGATGTGATTTTTCAATGCTATTGCATTTATGTTGATATGTAAAGAATGTGATCTAGCATCCAACAATAGATTTTTATAGTGTTAATGCCACAAAGTATGTTTTTGAGCAAGCAAACAAATTATTAGGAATATACTTCACACTTGAGTCGGGTTTTATTGTTACACTGATGAAATCAGTAATAAGTGTTTCTATAGGTAATATGATTAGGTACTCAAGTACTGGGTTAACCATTGGAGCTGCCACTATCCGAATACTGAAATCATTATTTGGGTATTCGTTACATTATAACAGGATAACAATCCAATGAAATGCTAAAATGTGTCATTTTTGCTTGTATTTGTGAGTAAATAAGTATATACTTTGCTGTTGCGAAACACAAGTGCCCTAACATGAGCATATTGAACGTGTTCTTGAGGACGTGACTGAGAAGGCAAAGGTGGTGCTGCTTTTTTGCTAACGAGGCTAAACAGGTTATTCTAGCTTAGGGGTGCTCAATCCTGGTCTTGGAGATCTACCACCCTGGAGTGTTCAGATCCAACACACCTGGCTTATAGTCAGATGTCCCTGAAGTCCTTGATTACTTGAATTGGGTGTGTTGGATTAGGGTTGGAGCTAAACTCCGCAAGGTGGTAGACCTCCAGGACAAGGATTGGGCACCACTGCTCTAGCTGATGTTAGCTTTGTACAGAAACAGTGAAAATGTATTTCTGTTACAAATTAATATTTTGACAGACCTCGTGTACATAACAGTGAGTCCTCATCAGCATCCAACATTGTACCAGCTAGCCTTGTCAGCTCATTCGTTCATCTGAAGCGATGGCTTTTGTTACTCATCCGACATGAAAACCTAATGATTTCCTTTGACTGTTTTTGAATAATAAAACATGTTTTAAATGCATTCCTCTACCAGCTGCTACATTTTTGTGCAACTGAATTTCGTTAGCCAGATAACACCAGTGCTGTCACCTAAAAAAGTAAGCCTGTTGCCAAATAGGGCAAAACACAGTGTCTGTGGATTAATCTGTGGTAACCCATGCCCTTATATACACAGAGCACCATGTATGGGCCTGCATGACTTAGTGAAGTAACAAATGTAAACCCACAGGATTGTCCTGTTTTTCCCCATTATGTATAATTTGATCTGCTTATAGGGCCTTTGAATTGTCATGTGGAGCAGAAGGCTGGTTTCTGCAACTTCATTTAAAATTTAAATGTGTCACATATGTGAGTGTATTTGATTGCTGGCTGTCCTTTTATTGTACAGAAAGTAAATTGAGATGATTTGGGATTAGTGGAGGTACTGGAGTGGAAGAATAGGGTGGATAATTGGAGTGCTTGGATAATCCACAACGCCAGCATGTGCAATGAAGACTGTTTTGTCATGGCTTGTTTTTGCTGTGAAACTGGACTGACTCAGCCATTCGTTCGCTTCAGTGGAGACACTTGATATGACTGTTATACAGGGGTTTAAAAATGCATTGATGCATTGATTTGAAGGTGGTGATTCAACTTCATAGATGTTGTAGTGTTAGATCTGATTACTATCAAGTATGATGTTATTTTTTGGCAAGAATAGTTGGGTTATTTTCAAAAATCTAGCATAAAGCTTTGTTTTTGTTGTTTGTATCATATTACAGTGGAAATAGCTCCTCCAGGCACATTTGTGTATTCAATATTTTTTTTTAATTATACTGAATTATCCCATAATTCTTGAACAATGGTACAATTTAGGATTCCATGGTATATCAATTTGTTTCCTTAAGAATTGTAAGTGGATCAAACCATCATGTTAGAGGTTTTACATGGATTCTGTTATGGTACTCTAACATTCACCAAGAAAACAGACATTGTAAATTTCCCCTCAGGCTGTTACCCCTGAATTTGTGCTTATTGAATTCATTGATTTGTCCTCTCTCTTCATCAGTTACAAACATTGACAAAGAACTGTAGCACTGTTTCCATAGAGACTCTAGAAAAGACACCATAGACTGTTTCTTTAGTGGTTATTACTGTAACTGAAATAGGAATGTGTGCATAAAGCTTGTTTAATTTGACTTCAATTTCACCTACTGTCTTATCCTTAAAGGCTTATATAATAAAGCATATTACTGCAACTTCTGCACAAACACAGGCCCACTGCAATCACCCAATGAAGAATCAGCACATTTTGTCCTATCCTATATAATTTACAGGCTGTATTGGCAAAATAAAAGCTTTTGTGTTTCGTTTATTAAGGTACAAGGAGGTATTTGTAATGAAGTGATGAAATGTCAGGTTGGTATATATACATACACACACACATACACACAGACAGACAGACAGACAGACAGATAGATAGATAGATAGATAGATAGATAGATAGATAGATATGTTTTATTAGTGATACAGACAAAGCTTTTACCAAAAAATAATTTAAAAATAATTAAAAGTGAAACAAAATGTAAAAAGTGGAACTGTGTAGGTTAAATAGAGTTAGTATCAGTACTCGGTTGATACTCAGCCATCAGGTATCTGTATTGAAAGGGAAAAAGTCATATTGGTGCACACCTAGTGCAGTCTAACCCTGGATTATCTGTCTCATGACAATGGATCATTTTTTACTAGGAAACTTTGCAATGCCAACTTCTGCTGCTTCAGGATTGAAGATTATAAACAGCTCTTGGACCAACCAGTTCCGAGCTTCTTACCAATCAGAGAAGCGGTTCCCAAACCTGGTCCTGGAGGACCCCTTGCCCTGCACGTGTGTGTGTTTTCCTGCCAAAACACACCCCCTTCAACTCAAGAAGTGCTTGTTAATTAGCAGATTCGTTGGATCAGGTGTGTTGGGAGCAGGGCAAACACTACAATGTGCAGAGCAGGGGGTCCTACAGGATCAGAGTTGGGAACGGCTGAATCAGAGGATGTAATAGAGTTGTTCCCCTCTAGTTACTTTTATTTGTGTCATTGGTGTCAAGCATGTGAATAATATTGCTATTTAGCAGAGGAAACAAATTATGCTGCGTAGATATAAAGAATGTAAAGCAAATATTACTCCATTAA